GCACTACTTTATATTTCCCCAAACAATGTAGAAGGGTTCATTTGTTTGTCATGGATTTGTCAGCACTTTTTCCTTGATTTATTGATGATGGTCATTCTTTCTGCAGTAGGATGGATTATCAGTGTTGTTTTAATTTGCATTTCTGTAACATCCAGCAATTTTGAACATTTCTTCATATATTTATTGGTCATATGTACTTCTTACTTTTAGAAATTTTTTTCATTTTACTTGTATGCCCTTTTCATTGCACCTTTAATGGGAGAGCTTGATTGAATTCTTTATGTATTCTAGATGTTAGTCCTTTGTCTGAGGAATACCTTGCATTTGTTTTCCAAATTTTCCTTCAGATTCAATGCTTTTGTTTCAATGTTTAGATCTTTAATTCTTTTTAATGTTAGTTTAGTATATGATGAGATATTTGGATCTAGGTTCAGTCTTCTACATGTAGATAGACTGTTTCCACAGCATCATTTATTTTAGATGCTATTGACCAGACGTGAAGATCGAGGCCTAACTGGCTCAGATGAGCACCAGGAAGAAGGGCGACTTGTTAGCATGGTGGCATGTTATGAGTTCTAGGGAAAAGTTAGTACAAGTAAAATCCTGATGTTTACCCAGACATGTGCCATAGATGGTGGGAGACAGATGAATTTTATGATATTCTAGTTACTCTCCCAGGGTCTAAATAAATTGAGGCAGCATGGACCAGTCATTTGGGCCTCTTTGATCACAAGAGACAAGAGTCCCCTGCCCCCCCAGTTTAATGTCATCCTGTATCTCTGTTTTTCATCCTCTCTTGTTCCCCAGTCAGGCACAAAGCTAATACCCAATTTTTCCTCCATATCTGATTTTGTCCCTTTTTCAAAAATGAAATAGTTGAATATATTTGAAAAACCCATATTTTTAAAATATAGGTTTTGTTTCATGTGTTGTGAATATTGTTAATGCTTTCAACAGTTTGTGTTTTTGACCAAGAAAATAAATGTGCAGACTTGAATAAGTGTTATGTTTATGAGGCTACCTGAGACAGAAAACTATAGAAGATATAGTGCTAAGTTATAGCAGAAACCAGAAGACCTGAGTGGGTGCATTGGCTTGTCCTTCCCAAGGTCCTGATCTCACTGTGCTTGTCACTGTCCTAAAATAAAATTAAAATTACTTCAGATTAAATCAGTATATGAATAAAATTGTCAGGTTAGTGGCCTAGTTATTCACAAGATAATTATATAAGCTTGTTGATTGTTTGGGTTGGAAGAAAACAGATAGTGTCAATGGGTACTCCAGAAATATTTAAGAAAGCTGATTCAAATTTTACCTGTTTAGTTTTCTGCATAGCAAATGTTACGTAATAGATTAAATTTGTGTGACTTTTCTTTTCCCCTTTGTTTTCTGAAAAATGCAGTTTTTAATGATGCACTATGAAATGCTTCTGTGGTTAGGTCTTGTCTGTGATGTGTTCGGTCTGCCTTTCCTAGGGAGCCCAGAGCCCTGTGGAATGCTATACTCAGGGCTTTATTTATCTGAGCTTCACTGGCCAATACGTAAGCTGCTTTGACCAAAGACACTCCGAAATTTTGGCTGAACAGCTTGCAAGCCTGTGCAGTAGTCTATAAAGCATACTTGACACATCTTTGATAAATCTGTCAATAGAACTACTGAACAACCCAAATTGCTTAAAAAGCCCTCTGGTTTTATGTAAAGATAAAAGCTTGTATTTTTAGGATGTTGAAGTATCGGGGTGAAGAAGCAAGATGCCATCCATTTACGAATTAGCCAAAATGTCTAAGTAGGGCTGAGGAGACAGCTCAGCAGCATAAGTGCCTGCCTCACTAGTGCAAGGTCCAGAGTTTGATTCCCAGTACCACATGTCTTGCTGGCCTCGAAACCAGACATGGTGATGCACACCTATAATCCCAGTGCTGGGGAGGCTGAGGCAGATGCATCTCTATGAGTCCAAGCTGTGCAGAATGGACTACATATGCTATATATGTAGTATATGTGGATATATCTATGCACGTACATTCACACTTGGAGTGCACCCAAATGTACCACACTATTCATAATTCCTGACCTAGAGGCATCTAATTTGAAAAAAAATTGAAATGTATCTCTAGTTATAAAATGATTTGATAAAAATTGGTGTCTTAGAAATAGAAACACAAGGAGCTTTGATTGTTTTGGGCGGGGAAGATGCTGCCATATGAAGAGTATATTAGGAAAGAAAAAGGATTTTAAGATCCAACAGACAGTGAAAGGGGAAGATTCATGTTATTGACTACAAACAGCTATATATACCTAGAGAAAGGCTTCTGAGGTTGTTCTCAGAATTGCCTTGCCATTCCTTTGGGAATTATGGCTCCATATGCACGAGTTCCAACTGAAGGCCTTTCAGCCAGGCCAGTGGGAACATTGCCCAGAAGATTGTCAGAAAGTTATTTGTTTTTATTCCTGTCCAGTATGCTCCAGTCCACAGTACAACACAGAAGCTTGCCAACTTTAAATTGTTTTATGAAGCGAAATAGGCAGGGAAGGCACTCTACGAAGAGGCCCTCCTGATTTACTTGAAGCCCTAGTAACTTGGCTGAGTGGAGCTAACAGCCTGAAATGTGCTACAGCCAGCCCTGGCCTGACCTTGATCTTCCTCAGCTTAGCTATTAATCCCCAAACTTGTGGCTAGCCCTGGAAAGCAATGTGTAATGGATTGCATGTCATCTTATGTGCTTCTAGGGCATAGACATTGGCATGCAGCATTTCCTGAATAACTTCCCAAGGACTTCAGCGAAGGTTGAAGGATGCAGAGGGGGAAGGGTGTCCCTGCCTGGACATTCAGCTTTAATATATCATTACCTGAAACAATATCACAAATACCACTATTGCCTTAAGGGAGAGAGAAGAGTCACTTGTTCCCTGAAATTTCTGCCATGCTTTTTGTAATATTGTAAACTGTTGCTAATCTGCCCTGTCTATAATGCTAGTGTCTGAGGCCCTTTGCAGAGCTTTTGCTTTTCCGCTTCCTTTTTTTCTTTGTTTTTGTTTATCTGTTACAGTAGGTCATAGAAATTATGAAATTGGATTCATTCATATTGCTGTTAAAAATTTTAGCATCGTGGCTACCGCCTTTGCAAATTTCTTATTATAGATAAAACCTGTCATAATTCTTGTTGTCTTTTGATATTGAGTCACTTATTATGTCACAATTTTTTCTGTACTATCAATACATTGTTTTATGCTGTATGCTATATAAGCCTTAAAATATATTTTATTGAATCTTTATATTTGTGTATCATAATCCAAAGTTTGTAGACTTGAGTATTTAGCCCATAAGCACTAGAGCTACAAAAATTATCAAAAGGGGCTATTTAAAAACCATAGAAATGGGCTGGCGAGATGGCTCAGTGGTCTAAAGCACCTACTTG